CCCCCCCCCCCCCCCCGCTGTTTTGAGGTGACAGACATTGGGCTCCACACCCGCCGCTTTTCTTTCCTGGACAACCTGGTGCCTCTGGCTGCGTTGGAAGGCGTTCTTGACTGCAATCACGTGAGAGAGACTCGCTCCTTCAAACCATAGTCGCATCGCACGTAGTATTGGATTGGTTGTTCACGTACCCATCCCTAAAACGCTTGGCTGTTCTCCGCGCGTGCTGTCCCACTTGTTCTGGACGCCAGTCGTTCGCACCTTTCGGTAAATATTTGTGGATGCATCAGCTGGGGTCACACAGAAGGGATGGCCACAATGAAGTGGCGACTTTCTCCATCTTCCTTCCGCTGCGGTTCTAGCCTTGAGGTTTATGGCGAATGACTCAGCCGCTCCTTGCGTTCGTTGACAGTGAAGTCGAACGCGTACCCGATTTCCACGTTGTTTGGGCACGTCGGGAGCATATGTCCCAATTCGTGCGAATTCGCGGAGATTCGAACTCAAGGCCCCAACCAGACTGCGAGGTTCACAACTGAACCACTCCGCCACTCTGTTATGCAAACATTCTTTGAACACTCAAACTTCCGGCTCATGAGCTTCGTCAGTCTTTATTACACGAGCTCCGCACCATCCCCTGACACACACTTGTGCGCGAACTGACATGGACACTTGGCTCACGCCTTGCCCTCGACTAGTTACCTCCATCGGCCGTGGCACCCCAATCCCGCGCTCGAAGACGCCAGCTGCTGTCGCACTGGAACACACGAATGTCGGTATCGATGGCGGCGGGAGGAGGCGCATCAGCAGCACCAACGTCCTACCAGCGACATCGTGCGCACCAGTACGGCATCCTCCAGCATTCGTCCGGAGGGTATTCCGTGTCGCCATCGCCTGCTTCAACCCACTCGGTGCTCGAGGTTGACGACTTGTCAGTGCGTGGAGCCCGTGATGGAGAAGGAGACGACGACTTGCTTGGCATTGTTGGGCTGGAAGAGAAAATCGAACGGGAGGAGCGCAGCGCCGAGCGAATGGACGGCAAGCGGATTGGGGTGGAGGCCACGAGGAAAGCGGTTCGCGAGGCCCTAGTCCTGTGGAGCGGAAAAGCAGACATCCTCCAGGTAAACAACGCGCGGAAAGAAGGCGTGGGAGCGCGATGACGATCTGATGCCCGATTTACTGTTTTTGTTGAGTGGCAAATGGCAATACGACCTCCGGTAGTACAGATTCTAGTCAAGCAGAAATGGGCCTTCATAATTTTGCCGACGGAACGCAGGTTGAATATGCAAACATCCTCGCATCATGTACACAAATCGGGTGCCGCTGTCGTTACAACCTGAATATTTCATGAAATCCTCACGGCGCCATCAGATTTCTGCCTCGCCCCCGCTCCCCCGTTCCGGATCCCGCTGTCTAAAATACGGACAGGGGAGACTCGTGGTACGCAGAACCGTGTCGGCGTCTGTATCTTCTACGGTTGCAAGCAGCCAAACCAAAAAATGACACCAGCGATATATCCTTTGTGGAAGAATTTATGGCCAGCCCATCTCCACGGTGCTGCGCGTGTGACATGCGGGATGGTTACTACCGGCGGGATGACTACGACCCGCAGACGCCGATCCCGCCTGGTTCTGACAAAGTCCTTCGAGGCAGCAACCTCCTACAGCTTCGAACAACGGCACGATCGATACGGCACAGAAGCACACCAGCGGGGCTGTCGAACAGGCTTCTTACTTTTGTGCCGCCACAGGTACCAACGTTGGCTCTGAGCCACATGACGATCTCCATGTCGATGCCGCAAGCAGCGACGACTATCGAAATACCTATGCTGGCGTTGACGATTTAGGCGATACGGTTAGGGACACCTCCACTTCGAAGGAGGAGGGGCTGGTTGTCGACCTAGAAGAATGCCTGGTGCATATGACGCATCTTAGAGATTGGCTTCGTCTTCTGGACCAAGAAATTGGTCAGTTGTAGGTAATCAATCCCCTTTGTAGGTCGTCATAGCCAGTGATGATATGTCTACATTGGAAGGACACTTGCTGCCGTTAAAGATTGCCTGACTTTAGGAAAGTCGAAGTACGTATGTCTTGGCGATCCCTCCACGGAGTCGGCGCCGCTTGTTCGTGTCGAACGCAAGACCATATTCGCTGTCTCTCGCAAGCGGGCACCGGGCCACAGCGAAGTAAAACACCAGTATTCTAAAATACCAGTAATTCCTCGTCCTCGACTGCATCGGCTGCCCCCGTCATCAGAGTATCTTTTTCTGCAGGTGTTGTTAAAGTTGGAGCAAGGACAAAACGCTTTCCATAATGTTAAACGAATAAACGATTAACGAAAACTACCAAGCCTTCCCGAAAAAACAATTCACATGTCAAGCGTTGTGCTTTGTAGGAGAAGCTTCTGCTTGCCCAGCACCTAATATTAGCAGGCAACTATTCCCTTCAATAGCCTGGGTTGGAGTGTTGGGGAAACTCCTCGAAAATATTGTGGGACGATCTTCACCCTCTTGCGTTGTAGTTCGAGGCAGGATGTTGCGGGTAAAGCCTGAACCTAGCCAGGTTGACGTAGACCGAAGACTTGACAGTTTCAGGCCGTACTTTTCTTTTACCCTATGCAACATCTACCCCACTTTTTTTTTCCGTTTCTCTCTGGGGAGATAAAAACCAGAGTCTCCCGTTCTTCTTTGTAATTACCGCGGAGGGAGACTGCCAAGGGCTGTATCGTGAGACAATTCATAGATAAGGGCCACGGGGTGCTTCCCAACCCTCTCGCCAACCTGGTTCGAGCCTACCACAAACGGTACGTTGATTTACCCCGTTTTGCACGTGTCGCTCTCGCGGATCACTTGGAGCACTTGGAGGGTGTAGAAAGTGCATATATGATATGCATCGAAATCGGTTTTGAAGGTGGTCGTCCAATGCATGATCCTCGCACATGCCCACGGTGTGCTGAGGGATATGCATGGCCATGCATACCGCGTGGTTTAGTGATCCAAGACGGGGATCAGGTGTTGCACGAGTTCGTAATGGGCTGTGCAGTGTCCATCAGGTAGCAGCACGGGCATGTGATACCCGAAAAGCAGCTCAAAGGTTGGTCTCATCTGTTGATCATCCCTGGCTACTTGAACCACCGGTAACACAACGCGAATCCCCCCCCCCCCCCC